AGGCGTTACCGTAAGCCAAAGGAGAGAAGAGCACGAAGGCGACAATCGTGAGCGCCAAGAAGGCAACAGCGCTGACGCGATTGATGGCGGGGTTCTTGCGGATACCAGCGAGCGAGACTCGAGCGGTGGCGAAGTCGAAGATGGAGCAGAATGCCATGACTGCGAAGTAGAGGGCGGGGAAGTAGTGGTGAAGGAACAGCTGACGGTCCATGAGGTAGAACGGGAAGTAGTGGAAAGCCCAGCCCAGAACCGCAGTGCCGATCTCGTAGTCGAATCGCTTGAACGTGGTGTTGGAGTAGTCGTTGCAGCTGCGCTGCCAGCGGAGAGTCGCGATGCCCTTGAAGAGAACGTAGATAACGACAGCAAGGGTAGAGCTCCACCACACGATAGGGTTGCCCATCAGGTAGATCTGGCGGTGATCCTTGCCCCAGAAGTTGATACCGCGCTTGAGGAAGGGCCACGAGTCAGGACGAGAGTCCCAGGCATGAGACTCGACCAAGCCGGCGTTGGTCTTCCACATGACCTTTTGAAGCTCCCAGAACTTGCCGAAGAAGCCAGGATGACGGTAGTTGACCTTCTCGACGTTGTCGCCGGTGAGTTGCGGGTGCTCGTTGTACTCGACGTACCACAAGCTGTTGGGAAGGGTACCTCCCTTCGCGCAAGTGACCTCCTGTTGCTCAGAGGCCCACTCAGGTAGCTTCACCTTGTGCGAGAAGAGTACACAGCCAGTCATGATGTGAACCAATCTGAACTTGGTCTCGATAGTGCGAAGACGCTCCTTGGAAGCGGAGCTGAGGGACTGCTTCTTGATAATCTCAATCTTGAACAAGTCGTTGGCGTCGCCCTCGAAGCCCTCGTAGCCGTAAGCGGACACCTCGTTCTGCCAATCAGCCTCCGTGACAGGGGGTCTGACGTCGTGGGAGTGAAGACGACGGAATGTGGGAGTGTGGTAAAGGCGAATGACATCGCCATCCTTGATAAAGACAGGCTCGGGGAGGTTGTCCCAGGCCTGAGTTCCGTTGATCTGCTCGCCGTTGATTCCAAGGGGCTGGGTCTGGTTCTCGAGCAGCCAGAGGTTGTTCTCATCCTTGTGGGGGTACAGAGTGATCTGCTGCTGCTTGCTACCAGTGGGGTACATGAGGGGGTGAGAGTGCAGGTAGCCGCCCTGTGTGTTAGCGTGTCTGATGCTGACACGGCTACCAAAAGCGACGTCAGCGGCCACATCTTGCATACCCTTGGAGTTGAGGGTAGACTGGAACTCGGAGCTCATGAAGCCGTCGCCATCACCGGGGTTGACCAGGCAAAGGAAGTGGATGGCAAACATGGCCATGTAGAAGCCGACAGGAATAATGACGAGGGCGAAGGCACGAGCCATGAAGTGCTTGGCCCAGATGCGCGGCGTAACGTTCTTGGTGTCTCCAAGGAGAACCCAGAGCTGGACGAGGGTCAAGCTTCCAACCCAGGCAATGGTGAACAGACCAACCCATTTGATGCTGACAGTGGTACCTAGACCCAGGCCAGTCATCAGAAGCCAGAACCACCAGCTCAACTGGAAAGCTTTCTCGGGTCCCTGTTCATGCTGGTTCGTGAAGGACTGGAAGGAGAGGGCGGTGAAGGCGGTTGCGACCATGAGAGGAGAGTCGAGGAGAATGAGACGAGCTTGAGTAAGGAGGCCGTTCTCTGTAGGCAATGTTGGTTAGTGATTCGTATATGCGCGGTGGGGCACTTTGCACTTACCAAAGATGATCAGACTGGAGCCCATCAGAGCCGTAGTGGTGCGGCATCCGGTGGTCTTGAGAGTCAGAAACATGAGAGGGGCGAGCAGGATACCGCAAATGGCCGGGAACATGCGCATGGCGACGTAGGGAACGCCGGGCTCGAGGTAGTCCTTGCCAATGTCCTTGAAGTCGAAGTCGCCGTTGAAACCAGCCAACCAACCGGTGAGAGCGATGAGCATCTTGGCCAGAGGAGGGTGGACATCCATGAAGAATTTGCCCTTGATGTATTTCGAAGCGAAGCCACCGAAACTGTAGAGCGAAGGCGTCAGCAACGATGCGCGCGGAAAGGGAGGCAAGGGGGTATGTGTGTGCTTACTGGACCTCGTCAAAGACGACACTGGTGGGCTGGTAGATTCGGAACAGGCGAACGATGGCGGCGAGGATGGTCAAGCCAAACATGATCTGGTAGTCGGAAACAGGCAGGAGGAAGACATCGTTGTCCTCAACACCGTCGGACTTGTAGCTCGACTCGCGCTTGACGGGGAGTTTGCTATGGCCATTGCCGTTGCCATTGATGCCGTTGACACCGTTGGCCTGCTTCTCGAGCTTGGGGCTCGGAGAGCGAACTGGCTTGGTGGCAGCCATGTTCGCAGAGAAGGAGTATCGATTCGCGGGGAGAGGGTCGGACTATTCGGGGCGGGCGCAAATGTCGTCCACTCAACGTCGACGGCAGCTACGACTTGGTAGCGGGCGACGTGGACGACGAAGGCGGAGAGCGGTCGTCAGCACCTAGGAAGGTGAGAATGGTAGGCGAGGTTTTCTCGCGTCGGTCGAGTGGCAGGGAAGTGGGAAAGGGGATCAACGAAAGTCGAGAAGGGAAGAGGTGGATTAAAAGGCCGTCATTTAGCAAAGGTGAATGACGGGCTCAGTAGAAGAATGCCCCCAATGGAACAAGAAGAAAAAAAAGGAGGATGCTTTTTCTTCCTGGTTGGAGTAAGGTAGATGGAAGAAAAAGGGAGCAGGGGCAGGTATCCGTAGAGAAACGAAGTAACTGTTAAGGTAGAATCTGGGTTCACTGCCTGGCGGAAAGTTTAGACCGCGGAAGCTGATGACAGCTGGGGGGGAGGCCAGGCTGGAAGGGAGGATAAGGGGGTCAGGGTCGGAGTTGTAGCTTAAGTGGCCTCATCCCATGTGGTTTGACAGCCAGCAATTGGCTGAAGCTAGGGCCTGCCTGGGACCTTCCTGGCTCCATCCAGTGATCCCCCTCCCCCTTGAGTCCATCCACGCCCCCCTTCCCACGATTCCCTACGGCCGGGTCGACCCCTTAGACAGTAGACAGTACGGGCACTCAGTACGGAGTAGACGTGCGGATGTGCAGTGCAGACGCTGTTCTTTCTCGGGCGCTCACCACCTCCATTACACTACCATCTCACTTATAAAAGGTATAGAATCATGTCAGTGGTCAAGGTAGTCCGTGAAATGCACCGAGGTGCTGCTCGAGTTGACAGTGAACATGATCCCTAAAAAGCTCGGGGAAGGGGGGGACCCGTGGACGCGTATATTTGGACCACCTCACACCCCACCGATGCGCCGGGGGTTACCTTTGAAAGTTTGCCAGTCTGAGGCAAGAAGCACTTTACGCGCTTCACGGTGGTACCGAGTGATTGTCAATCAGCATGTGAGAGTGGTAGCATAGCCCTGGACCCCAACTACTCAATACCTACACCGTAACATATTGTCTAGATGTTGCTCCCAGATCATCGTTAGAGAGCAGTACTCGATTGATCTTGTCCTCGATCCAACGTACAAGAAGACACGGTTGTTGTTGGACAAGTGTCCTCAACACGAGTGAGCTATCCATAAACGTACCTTGGAGATAAAATAAATTTTAGCCCGTTCAATGTCTTGGAGTACCTGCTTTGGAGCTGCGTTATCTTAGCTCCGGCCGCGTACCCGTGCTCCTCTAGCGCCAAATGTAGTCGGCGGGAGACGTGCTGTGGCTGCCCATTGTTCTTTCTGCGCCCGGCCTCAATAGGTACCTACCTACCTTACCTATCCCAACTAGGTACTGAGAGAGTTCAGCTTCTTGTCCGCCCAGGCGCAGGCGCACTGGCGCGCTGGACCCCATCCATGCTCTCCATGTCCACTATTGATGGACGCTGGCCTGTGCACCGGTACAATGCGGCTGAAAAAGAGACGGCGTACGTAAGGCAACTCTACCTCACACAACTTCACCTAGGCCTATCCTTCTCAACTGCACCAAATGGCCCCACAATCTATTTCCATTGCAGCAGTGTTACGTACCGCATATGGAGGTTTCGACATCGATTGCAGCCCCCATATCAAGAACGCAATGAAAACATCGCCATGTCCATCCACCAGCCTTTCTGCCTCTGGTGAAAAACCGGCCAACCTCGAGACATCCTAAAGCCACCTTGCTCGAGCCTCAAAGGGCTGGAGAGCGAAAGGCACGCTTTAAGTGGCTGTTGAACGCCTCGCCAAGGTATGTGGATGAGTGGGATTGGGGATATCGGAATGCAGCTTCAACGGCATCCCTTCATTCCTAGACATATGCCTCTGGTCACAATCCCTTGCTTTCCTCTTTGAGACAATCCCTAGAAGCAGAAATCATGATTGGCTCAGAACCTACTCAAGACCATCGATTTTGGTCCGTACAAAAGATATCAATCAAACTCTTGAAAGGCCGGGTATTCGGAAGAAGTGATTGATGCACTGCTGTGATGTTAGTAAGAGAAGCTCGACGGCACTACGAGGACCAACAGACTTACCTACTAACACATCAATAAGAAGAGTCTGGACCAAAAAAATATCACCCATCAATCATTAGAAGAAAGATGCAAAAGCTCAGCCCCCCTCACGGGGGGCCTACGAAAATCACTAGATCATTGTTACGTACTATTCCTCAGTTGTAACCTATAACGATACTGGCGATTTTTCACGAGACTCGAACTCGTGACCCATGGGAGCGGGGCAATTCAAACGAGGACATTCCCCGCCACGTCATGGGCCTTGGTGATGATATTGAGCAAAATCATTCACTATGAAGGTAAGGTAGGTGTCAAGGTGAACCACCTGCCACCTGAGGTTATTCACAGGACCCAAGACGGCCAAATGCGACGAATATGCATGTGGAAACCAATATGGCCCGTGCACTGCTTCTCTCAAAAAATCGGCTGACTAAGATACTTGCCAACCGGTCCGGGGTCAAGGTTGCCTGGGAACCTCCGAAAAAAGTTAACGAACGCGGCTGGTGAGCTTTGCCTTCGTTTCGACTTCCACCCAGCTGTACGCGCCGCCTCCTGACGACATAACTCCGAACTGCGCGCGCCCTCTCCCAACACAACATGGCCTCGACTGCGACCAACGGCGACGCCGCCGCCGTGTTGGACGAACTCAAGCCTCCTACCGGTGTTGTTCTGCCGCCTCGAGAGATTCGCAATGTTCTCGAAAAGACGGCAGGTTACGTCGCGCGAAACGGCCTCATCTTTGAGGACAGAATTCGCGAAAAGGAGCGCTCCAACCCCAAATTCAGTTTCCTCAACAACACCGACGCATACCATGCATTCTACCAGTGGCGCCTTGATGAGATCAAGGCCGGCCGCGGCACCGCCATCGCAGCAGGACGCGCCAACGAAGCAGCAGCACCCGTCGAGCAGAAGCCCCAAGGCCCGCCCAAGCCTCCCGATTTCCAGTTCTCGGCCCGCATGCCGCGCATCAATCAGAAGGATCTCGAGGTCATTCGATTGACCGCCCTGTTCGTCGCGAAGAACGGTCGCCAGTTTATGACCCAGCTTGCCCAACGCGAAGCCGGAAACCCCCAGTTTCAGTTCCTCATTCCGAACCACACGTTCCACAACTTTTTCCAACATCAGGTCGACCAATACACAGCGTTATTGAGAGCCAGCGGCTTGGGTGGCGAGGGCGGCAAGATTGAGCAAGAGAGGATCAGCCATATCCAGCAGAACATCGACGACAAGTACCATGTCCTGAGCCGCGCGAAGCAACGTGCCGAGTACTCAAAGTTCCAGGAAGTTGAGAAGGTAAAGAAAGAGGAAGAAGACGAGAAGAAGAAGCTTGAGTTTGCCCGGATAGACTGGAACGACTTTGTGGTTGTCGAGACTATTGTCTTCACAGATGCCGACGAGTCCGCGAACCTGCCGCCTCCGACGAATCTTTCCGAACTGCAATACGCTTCCCTTGAGGAGAGGAACAAGGCATCATTAACCAATCTTCGCATCGAGGAGGCCATGCCCGATGAGGAAACCTCGTACAACGCCTACCCCCAGACCTCCCAGACATTACCAGTTCACACTGGCTATGCGCCCCAGCAGCAGCAGCAGCAGCAGCAATTCCAGGCGCAAGCACCAGTAGGCTTCCAGGGGTATCCAGACGGCACGCCGCGACGATCAGCAGAAGAAGAGGAGGAAGAGCGGAGGATTCAGGAGAGGACAGAGGCACGTGCCCGGGAACAACAAGCACGCGCTGAAGCTCGTGGTGGAACTGCTCCGATGAAGATCAAGGAGAACTATGTGCCCCGCGCACTCCAACGAGCGGCCAACAAACAGAGCGTCCAGATGGCGCTATGCCCGAACTGCAAGCAGCAAATTCCTATGGATGAGCTGCAGGATCATATGAGGAGTATGCTTGACACCTGCCTTGCAGTATGAAAGTTGAATGTTGCTAACAATTTCTGTAGTTGAACTGCTGGACCCTCAATGGAAAGACCAAAAGGCAAAGGCAGAGGCTAGATACTCCACGACCAACTTGTCCACGGCGGATGTCGCAAACAACTTGAAGCGTCTTGCCAGTCAGAGAAGCGACGTCTTTGATGGCGTCACCGGCCAGCCCCTGTCGGAAGAAGAGGCTGCTCGGCGCAAGAAGGCCACGATTCACAGTTTCGATGGCAATCCTGATGGCAAGAGCCAGGCTCATATCAACCACCTGCACAACCTGAATGTCGAGGAGCAGATCCGTGCTATTCACCAGAGATTTGCGGACAAGAAGTGAGCGGGTATGGGCCAACGATGGCTGGATCGATCGGGCAAGACGCACGTCTCAGATGCCGAAGTCTGAGGTTGTGAGCACTTTGGACATGAAATGACGGCGTAAACTCCTTCGGCTGAAGGAGGTTACTGAAGTTGAAGCTGTCAAAATCAGGCTCCGGGAACGTACGTGACGGAGCCAGTGTACAAACACGAATAGAGGATTGGCTTGGAGGTGAGAACTCGGCGTTTACTGGTTGCTTATTTTCAGAGGACTCATGTCGCCCCAGCATCATCCTACCCATTTACCACCGGTCTATGGCGTCTGCTGCGGCGAGCAGTGTGATCCCGACGCCGGAAGACTGGAATGGTCGAGGCCCACTGGGCGCGAGACGTGAGCAGGGTGCCTCAGCAGTGGTCCAACATGCACACAGCACCTGCTGGTGGTCAATGAATGTATTTGTTTGCTAGCATCAAGGAGTGGACGCATATGACACATGAGGCTAAGATACAACGAGGGCGATCTGCAGAAAGAAAGGTAGTTCCGAAAAGTTGGGGTTCTGCTGAATGGGGCAAAAGACATCTATTTTAGCAACGCGAATCCAACCTTAATTCCAACAGCAGCTCGATATTCGGTTGGAACTCAGGGAGTCCTGTGAAACCTATAGATGCGAGGAAAGAATGGAAGCCTATTGAACCAACAGTCCAGTTCTTCAGTCTCTGCTACGCACCCAGACCCGTTCAGTCGAATTTAAATTGGTGCATAACTGGGTAGTTAGATACTCGGGATTTTGGGAACTCCAGAAATACCTCCCGGTCTACAAGGCACCCCCCACCTGCTCAATTGGGCAGCGCTACTCCGTCCCGCTGTCCGTACCGCTCACAGTTACGAGGAAGTGCCCCCCACCTCGTACCCTCAGACGGCGCATCGGCTCAGCCTCCTCCTCCCAATAATCAAGCAAACCGGTCTGTTGCGGCAGCGGCCGGGACTGGCGTTCGTCATATCGCTCCCCCGCAATTCTACCAGCTACAGCAAAGGTGACAGGCACCCAAGGACCAAGGTAAACCACGCCGCACACTGCTTGATTGCTGCCACCCATTTTTGTCGTAATCGGCCGCACTTCGCACCCGACTTGATTCCCCCACCTCCCTCCCACCTCGACATTTTTTCCCACAACGAACAATCCAACTTCACCTCACATCGCCTCGCCTCGGAACCAAGATCCCAGTCACACGACAGGTCTCACCGATTCGTAGCAGACAACCGCCACCAGAGAAAGAGAAGGAGCAAAGGATCCCGGAACAGCAGTCAGCACAGAAGAGAGCAGCCGTTTCCACCGAACCCGATATCGCGCTTGCGCATACCTCACCTCGACGACAGACTCCACGCCCTCTCCCCCGCCCATCCCTCGCGCGAGAGAGCGTGAGAAACAAACACCTGCCTCGCCGACCGCAACTCCCCTCTGCCCACCGAGGACAAAGCCGCCAAAACGGATTCCGGAAGCCAGAACGCCGCTCGCGCTCCCAGCGCTGAGCCCACTTCTCCCACCTCCCCGACCGGATCACAGGCCTCGCCGCGCTTTCACCGGCCCATCATGCAGGCAATGCCGGATAACCGACAACAGTCTTTTGACGAAATCTACGGCCCGCCGGAGAACTTTCTCGAGATCGAGGTGAGAAACGTCCAGCGAGCTTTCCACAGCTGCAGCGCAACCCCCGGTCCTCTATAGCCTGTCACGATAATCCCTCTCCAATGCTCTCTATTCACCCCTCCTACAGCCCGCCAGCCCGGCCATTGTCGCATGCGCCCCAAAGCAAGGGATCTAGTTCACACAATCTAACAAACCTCCTTCCCCCTTAGGTCCGCAACCCCAGAACCCACGGCATGGGCCGCAGCATGTACACCGACTACGAGATTGTCTGCCGCACCAACATCCCCGCCTTCAAGCTCCGCGCCTCGAGCGTGCGCCGCCGCTACTCCGACTTTGAGTACTTCCGCGACATCCTCGAGCGCGAGAGCGCCCGCGTCACCATCCCGCCCTTGCCCGGCAAGGTCTTTACGAACCGCTTCAGCGACGACGTCATCGAGGGCCGCCGCGCCGGCCTCGAAAAGTTCTTGCGCATCGTCGTCGGACACCCGCTTCTGCAGACGGGCAGCAAGGTCTTGGCCGCTTTTGTTCAAGGTAAGAGCTGGCTTTCTGGCTTGTGATTTTCTACGCACATTCTTTGGTGATGCTGCGCTTGGTTATCGGGGTGGATTGCAACGATATCGAGGCCTAGAAAGCATGAACTGACGTGGTTTGGGATAGATCCCAACTGGGACCGCAACGCGTGGTGACTGAAGCTCCGCGTCAGCTTCTCCTCGTCTGTCACGAGATCACCGAATAAACTGCGCAAGAGGCCGCCCAAGCACCATCGCACCGACACGCAGCTCGAAGAAGGGCTGACCGCAAAGGGCTCCATCTCTTGTGAATGAAACCCCTTTGAACGCCTGGGTTATTGTTTGGAACCTGGGACGTGGGTGGACCCTGGGGTGTGTGTGTGGTTTGGACAAAAATTGAAGGGTGGTATAAAAGCAAATGGGGGGTTTCAGTCAATGCCCATGATCATTGTTTGTGCGGGTTTTTTCTTCTTTTTTTTTTCTGCTAGTTTCTTCCTCATCGTAGTGTTTATTGCGTGTTGATGTTCAACTTTCCACTTTTTGCAAGTTTGAAATTCCTACCCCCCTTTTTTCTTCCGCTTTGCGCCGAACAGCACCACAGAATGCCGCCGAGGCGGACAGCATCAGCGTTGCTTATCTCCTCATTATGTAAGGAGGAGGAGGAGGAGGAGGAGGGAGAGGCTGGGCTGGGCTGGGCGTTTTCGAGCAAGAAAAAAAAATGAAGAAAAATTTGAGAATCATCACTGTCGGGAAAACCTATCCATACCCAGTAACTGGTTATACGTGTACGACCGGGTGTAGTGCAGAGACTGTTGTTGCCTGGTAGTTCCCATTTCCGTGCAGGAAGAGAATTGTAAGTGACCCAGTTCATGGTTTTCTTCCGTAGGGAAATTTCTGTTCCTTATATAGAGAACCTGAAAGCGGGAGGAGTCTTGTTTTTTTTTTTTTTTTTTTTTTTTTTTTTTACATTTTTCCGAGACGAGAAGCTGGAAAGCGGCGAGTTTTAGGGTACTTACTGACTTTGGTGTTGAGTTTGCAGTTGGTGAAAGGAATGAAACCCTCTAGCATCGAAGTACCGAGTTTCAAGATCCGAGAAGGGGTGTTCAAACATCAAACCCCAGGTCTATTGTCTAAAAGAGGCTGTGAAGAAAAAAAAGCCAGGTGGAATCCCCCTCCTCGCTAGACAAACTCTTTCTCTCTCATCAAGTTCAATGGTCTAGTGCAATGTTCTCGACTGCACGTACTACAACGTGAATCACTGCAGAGCACATTATCGTAACTGGAATGCTTGACGGGTTGACATAGCTCCTTTCTTCTCTTTTTTTTTTTTTTACATTATGATACACAGATGTTGACCATCTGCCATCTAGTGAAGATGAACCCTCATGGCTCTTTTTCCTTAAAACTGTTTTTATACAATAGAGGGAGTTTCCCCTTTTATTCCCTCCCCAAAAACGCCTTCTTATGCCCCTCGTTCTCACCCCCAGAATAGTGTTAAACAGTAAGGTGAATCATGCGGGGGCTCAAATCACGCTTCTCGTGAAAGAGCTGCCTACACCCCCTATGGGTCAAAAAGGGGTCGTCCTTTCAGACCAAGAAAGTCTAGGGATCGTTTCGCCTTCAGCTCGTATCGTACATGAAGAAACCCTTAAGCTTTCGTTAAACAGCCGTCAAAGAGGGGGGATGAGAAGGGAAACGTCGAAAAGCCCTTCGTCCCCTTGATCCGTTGAGTCCCGATCCGATCCGTTTATTTCCCAGAGCTGCGATGGTTTTTTTGCGTCGATCGTTTTGGTCGTGAGGATTGGTGTGTGTGTGTTTATGTGTATTATAGTACAATAGGTTGTTACATCCAAAGAGGAGTTTAATCGTCGCCGGCGTTTTAGCGAGGACTCGTTGGGTAGTGTGTGGTGGTCGTTGGCTGGGAACATCCCATCGGCAGGGCATGACGAGGCTTCTCACAAGCTCGCATTTGCCTTGCTGGAGGCGCCAAAGAGGCGCAGTATACCCTCGTACATGCCAAACATGATTGCCGCGCTGGGAACGGTGCGCATCAGGTGCGGTGTGAGACCGCCGTACAGGCCCATGAAGCCCTCCTCGATCCAGACGACGCGGAAGCACTGCCAGAGGCCGGTGTACTTGAGCTGTCCGTTGGCCAGGGGCGCCTGTCGTAGCCTCGTTCGCGCGACCTAGTAGATGGTGTTAGTGAGTACATTCCGTATGATCCGGCGATAGAAACCACCGGAGAGAGAGTACAGTAGAGGTGTGTGAATCATACCTCGTGAGGGTAGGCAAGAATGGCAGCAACCAGCTTGGCGCCGCCAGCAGCACCAGCATTCCCCATCCAGTCCACCGTTCGGTCCCAAAACGTCTTTTCCCTCCCGCTCGCGACGATGCGCTCCTCGCGCGCCGCCAGCCTGTTCTTGAGGTTCTCGTACAGCACCCACTGCAGCGTGCTCTCCGCCACGCCCAGGTAACTCGCGCTCATGCCCTTGTACATGCCCCGGACGCCCTCGGTCCGCAGCACCTGCTTGATGCAGTCCCAGCTGTTGCGGTACTGCCTCTGCTGCACGCCGCCGCTCTTCTCCGCCACGTTCTTGTCGAGCTGCAGGCGGGTCTTTACGAGCCAGATGGGGTTCGTCGCCGTGCTCGTCGTCACGCCGGCCAGCACGCCCGCCGCGAGGTGGACGCCCGCCCCTTCCTCGCCGCCGTTGACGTATTCTGCAATGAGGCGCTTGCCGTTGCCGTAGGTGTAAAAGTTTATGCTCCTCGCGGGGATGACGCCGATGAGGTTCGGGCCGAGGCCCTTGAAGAGCGCGCGGGGACCCTCAATCTTGTAGACGGAGCCCAGGATCTGGAAGGTCTCGCGGAGGTGGAAGAGGGCGGCGCGGTAGGGGGAGAGGGTGCCGACAGCCTGGGCGCGGGCGGCGTGGGAGGCGCGGAGCTGGGCTTGGTAAAAGTCGGATTGGAGGCGGGTTTTGAGGACGTCGAGTGGTGCTGTGAGTGTTGCGGCCGTCATGCCTCCGACTCTGTAAGGGTTGAAGAAGTCTTGTTAGCTTTCTCTTGTGCGCGCCCCCCCTATGCAAAATTTCTTTCCTATCCCAAGAATCCCCTTTCAACCCTTCTGTCCAACAAAAAGGGAATGGACGGAGCACAATGAGGAGGGAGGAGAAGAACAGGTATGCTTCAGACGTACCCTCCAGCAACGAAATGTACCCATGACTTTGCGAATGGTGATTCCTTCTCGCCCCCCACGGCTGGGTTCTGTTTTGTGTCGGGGATGATATCACCCGTCTCGCGGGACGTCGGGTACGAAGTCGTATCCGGGGCACGGCGCGCAGCCGCCCGGTCGCCTGTTGCAGACATGAATTCGGCGGATGCGGGAGCGTGAGCCATTCAGGCGGTGGGAAGGAGGAAGAAAGTGTGTGGCGATTCGGGGGGGAAAGGCGATTCCAGCTACTTTGACAGGATAGCTTCGGCTAGTAGGAACACGGAAAGTCGATTATAAGATGTAAGAGGGATCCAGTATTCTATGTGGCGAGCCTCGGATAATGGTAGGATAAAGAAAGTGGTAGCGGTTGTTGATATCGAAGGGGGCACCGTTACGTCGATATCATGTCGCGGGAGGTTAGGTTGGATGTGAGGGAACGGCTCGTCCTTGATGACGGGACGGGAATCTAAGGTAAGGTAGGATAGGAGCTGGGCAACTTTTTTTTCTTATCCCCGTCCACCATTTGCTTTAGCGTGCTGAGATACGGATGGAACGACGCGCCACGCTCAGATTTCAATCTGTGCGGCCCACTTTACCCGGCGTGCCGGCTGTCACCACTGTGAAAGTGTGGCCCCTGCTTCATGTGGCTTTCCAGTCGCTGTCATTCGTCAAAGCAACTGTCCCCTGCTACCTTGCGGTACCTCACTTTCCCTCGTCTTACCGCTTGAGGTATCTACAATGCTTACCTGACGTGTTGAGACTCAAACACCACCACGAACATGGAAGTGTAAGCCAGTTAGACGTCGCCACCGAGTAATTGGACGCAGCACTGCAGTGTGCTTACTGTATATCATTATGAATTTATCTGATTTTTTGCTTTTGTTTCCTTGGTTCGCACCTCGCAATGCACTCGCACATACGCACTATACGCACTACACACATTGCACACACAAACACACACTCGGTACGCTTTTTTCGAATCCTGTTGCCCCATCCTATCCCTCTGAATAAGAGCATGATATGATGTTGTTGCTGGGGCGGCCTGTTCCACGTTCCATGGATAAGACAAGCCATCTGCCGCAAATGTCGTCCTTTCCTAGCTCATCGTCCAACCATGCTGCTTGCCGGGGTCGAGGTAGCATCCCGCGCATCAGCGGCCGCAGTCGCAGCCGAAGCCATGTGGCTGAGCAGCATATGATCGTTCTTCAGACTGGGCAGTTGGTTCTGATGCTGCTGCTCCCCGCGGTGCGGGTGCGGCTCCGGCATCCAGGGCTTGTGGTTCATCGGCGGGGGTGGTTCATGCTCTACGTCCATGAAGCTACTCGTCCTGCTTCGAGATCCAGGGTCTAACGGCGACCGCTGGCGATGATCCGGCTGGCCCCTGCTAGCCGGCCGAGATACATCTCCTCCTCCCGGCATCAGATTGGCGGAAGACGACGTAGGCGGCTGAGGCTGCGGCGGCGGCTCGTGGGTTCGGCCGTCGTCCTGTGTTGGATCATATCGTAAAGTCCTCACCGGCGCCGGCTGAACCGGGCTCGGTTCCACGTGCGGCGCTTCGTCAGCACTGCTGCTGGCCTCGCGGTTGAGCCAGACAATCTCTTCTTCGGTAATCGTTTTCCACCCGCACTTGGCGTGCTTCTTCGTGCAGCCCTGACAAGCCGTCAGGTGCTTGATGCACGGCGACTTGAGCCTGCGGCAGCGGTCGCACGGCGGCCAAATCTGGTCTCCCTTGTTCAACTTTTCTATCCTTGCCGTGATGATGGCCCGGTGCGGCGACGACGGGTCATACGACGGATCTCTCTGTGGCATGACCGGTGGCGCATGCACGACAACTGGACGTCCTTGCAAGGGTAGTGAGTGCGGATGAGGATTTGTCGCGGGCGGGGTGTGTTGGCCCGTCGAATGGGCTTGCTCGAGGCCGGCGCTGGAGGGCACTCGAGGGGGGTAGGCTTGGGAAGATGACAGGAACTGCTGGAGCAGGTCTGCGTGAAGGTCGTATCCAGCTCCGTGGGCAACGTGGCCTCTGGAGTGGTTGATGGACTGGAAGGCCGAGCTGCTTCCCTGCTGTCCGCCATGACGTGAGTTGATTCCGGCTCTGCGGCCGCTCAAGTGGTAGTTGAGCTGTCTTGCCCTCTTGGCGATCTCATCGGCTTTCTTGATGAGAACCTGTAATCGCTGCTCCACAATTTCCAGTGTCGCAACTTCGGCCGTCTCATCCTCTTCCAGGGGAGCCGTGGACACGACGGAGAACCTGTCCAAGGCACCGTTGATAATGAGTCGCCAGTCATCTTCAAGAATCTGGGTCTGGATGCCGTTCAGGTAGAACTGACACGTGCGTTCGCCGTCGTGTCCGGTAGTGAGAACAAATTTCTCAGGATTTGTCTTGGCAAAGGTGACAATATCGAGCCAGCTCACGGGTGCCGCACCATATGGAGGCGGTGGATTGGTGATGATGGGACCTTCAAAAGCTCCCTCCATAGCTTTCAGCAGACGGGGCCCGGTGAGCTTGGCGCCCAAATTTGCCGCGAGACTCTCATGTCTATTGAGGACTCCTATTGTTGACCATTCAGCATGACATTTCCTAACACATACAGACAGGAGAAAAGGGGAAACCCGTACCTTCGTACTGATTTAATAAACCAAGCACATCCGAGAATGTGTCAGGCTCTCCCTGAATGAGCTGGAGTCTACCAGTGCTGGCTTTGGATAGGTAGTTGATGATGGATGCATTGCCTTTTTTGAGTTGACAATTAGTACTAGTTCATGGGACGAGATGAGATGCAGCGCAAGCGGGTATGGCCTATGGGGCAAGATTCCATGGCACAGGACAATTAAGCATTGCCAAGGGGCTTGGAACAAGCGCGATGCAGATGGAGAGAGGAAGCCTGAGCTGGAGAAGAGACGAAGATGGAGACGGGAGGGATAATGTTTTGGGGAAACAATGAAGAGGTAGAAAACAAGGTGCGGGCGGCGCTGGCAGGCAGGCCGGGGCGAGGGATCAATGGCGAGTCTAACCTCGATTGCCTCCGGGCGCGACGACGACAACGACGAGATGCAGCTGAAGGCTGAGATCGACGGCTCATAGTCCTTCAGCGCATCGCGACATGCTTGCTCTCTTGCTCTCTTTTTTGGATTTTGGTTTTCTTGCTGGAGACTTCGACTCTTGGATCACACACACACTGGCGCACCACACATACCTGACTGAGGCGGAGGAGGCTGGGGAATGCGATCAGAGTGAGCTGGCTGAGCGCCGCCGTCGTCTGCGTCCCGTTTCCGTTTATGGGGCTCTTGGGAATCCTGGGCATGCGCCATGGTGAAATTGTCACCGCGGGCAACAGACGGGAGGATCCCGCGAGAGCAAGGTGTCTTTTCTTCTCTTTTTTTCACCCTTCCTCGTTGTGGCCCTTTGTTTCTTCCCTCTAGAGTAAGATCAACTGTAAAAACCAAAAGCCGGGTGTGTGTGTGTGAGACGGATGGCGATTTGAGTGGAGTGGTGTAGAGTATGTGTGTGTGAGAAGGCCAAAGGGCCCCGGGGCGTAATAAGAGGGATCCTGAAATCTAGGAGTTGGTTAGTTCATGGCGGAGCAGCACCTTTTGAGGTGGTGGCAACCCAGCAGACAGGGCCCCAGTGAAGTGAGGAGGGAATGCCTCAGGTAACAGAACAGATGAGAGTTGGAGGGGTTTGGGATGGAGCAAGCAAGCTTTGGAACGAAAGAGGGACGAGAGATTTTGTTGATCGAAGGGGGGGAGGAGTGAACGAGGCCGGAGAGCCAAGAAAAGACGGGGGGAGAGGAGGAGGGTTGGAATCGGGGTTTCGTTCAGGATTTGTACGGGGGGAAACGGGGGACGTGGTCGGGGCCACAGGACGGGGGCTGGCTGGGAACTGGGGCGGAACTCGGGAGGAGGAGTAAGGCAAGGTAAGGTACTGGTAGGAAATAGGCGTAAGGCAAAGTACCTTAAGGTAGGAGAGAGGCAAAGTAAGGTAAGGTAAGGCGAGACAAGGGGAACTTGGGTACCTTAACGTAAAGTAAGGTAGGCAAGGTACTTACAAGCACAAGGAGGTAGAGGGCTGGTGTGCAGTTGGATAGGATGAAAAGAGAGAGAGAAATCACTCAAGCAAGTGTGTGCTCGCGCTGTGGGCGTGAGAGAGAATAAGAAGACATGAAGAAGTAAGGCAGGGTTGGTAGGTTGGTAAGGTAAGGTAGGTAAGTGAGAGTGATGGAGATGGGACGGACTGCTTGGAGGACGGGACGGGGAGAGGAGGAGAGAAGAGGGAAAGAAGAGCGGACGGCGGGTGCAGCTGCAGAGGCGAGTTTACGGGCCAATTGCCCAATGACAGGGGCAAGCGGGTGCCGAGTTCCCACCGCAAAGCCGCAAAGTCCCAAATTGGTTATGTCGTGTGTCGGTATGAAAGTGAGGTGAGTGAAATAGAGAGAGTGAGGAAGAGTACCGTACCTCTGGATGTGAGACCCGGGTTGAGCCTTTGGGAACTAGGAGAGACACGACGGAACGGGAGTTTTGAAGAGTGGGTTCCCTTGTTTTGGCGACGGGGGGAGAGGGGCGGCGGCACCCGTATGAGTCGGGCGGGCGAGTATGTGTGTGTATGAGAGTGAGTACCCAAGTCAATGAGTGAGATTGAGAGAGAGAAAGAGAGAGGGCGAGAGGCGGGTTGGGATGCTAGTGTGAAGCAAGTGAGCGGTAAGGCAGCCCAGCGCGAGGCGAGGGGTGTGGAAGTGTGGAAGGAAGGAAGGTACGGTACTGTACGTGAGTGTGAGTGTGAGTGTGAGTGTGAGTGAGTGTGTGTGACGGTGGACGGCTGGGAAAATGCAGTGCAGGACCGCAATGGAAGGCAAAGATGCGGTGCAGCAAGGGCGGAGGGGAGTTCCACTAAACGGATGGGGCCGGGGGTGGGAGAGGGGACCCGGCGTCCTTCTTTTTTCGTTCGTCGGGAAGGGAGGGAGCCTAAAAAGCTTGGACTGACGGAACCCGAGGACACCTCAGTTTTCCCAAGTACGGAGAGTCTAAAAGGGACTGGACTCAGGATGGAGTACTGTCCAAGGTACGCAGTACAGATAGAGAGGGTGAGTGAGCGAGTGGATGAATAAGTGAGAGAAAGGCAAGGCAAGGCAAGGAAGGATGGCCAGGGCAGGGCAGGGTCCCCCTTTTGGGTGTAAAGTGTGAGGTGTGAGGTGTGAGGCGTGAGGCATGAGGCACGAGGCGTGTGTAAGTGAGATTGAGATGAGGAGGATTGGTGGAACTTCAGCGGGAAGCAGCGCAGAGCCAACGGCTGCCGGGAAGTAGGCAGGAAGCTACAGCAGCTCCTAGCGTGGCATCAAAGGTGCAAGACAAGATGAGGTGGGCAGGCGATGGATCAATCGAGAGATACCCGACTGAAATTCGAACCATGTATTCCGTAAAAAGGGCTGTGGTTACCTTGAGGCAAGTGAGATAGAGTGAGTTGAGGTTACCTGAAAGAAACGCCAAGCCAAGGCAGCGGAATGTGGTGATGATGAGTGTATGGACTAGGATGCGCGCCGGCGCCAGCTCTCAGAAACGCAGCCCGCCCCGGCCCCCCAAACACGCGAAAAGCCCCAAAAGAGCAACAAAATCGACAACCAAGCAATTCTGGTGGGGGCCACACCAACGGGCTGGTTTGGACTGGACTGGACCCGAGGCTGTGTGCAGAGACAGGCCGTCTGTCTCTGCCCGTCTCTGTCCGTTGAAGAAGAAGCAGCAGCACCAGCAGCAGCGCAGCAGAAGCCTGTGTGCCTGTGCCTGTGCAGTCTCCGCGGCTCAGAACTTCAGCCCATGTAAGACGGCGTAATAGGGAGTCCCCAGTAATGCGGTTTTTTCTTGGTGAGTCCTTTTTTCGATTTTTTTTCTTCTTCTTTCTCCCCGCCGTTCTTTAATTGCCTCTTGAGTTCCTTGGTACTTGACCCGTCGATAAACGCAGCTTGTCCTATACGAGCAAAGTGGGAAATTTCAAAACGGATGACGGCGAACTGTGTACGGGGGTGGCGCTGGGACCCGGCGCAGAGATGTCGTATAAAGCAATTGAGCGACTAATATGAGGTAAGATTGAACAAAAAAGCAGGCCGTTTCCCGCTTGTCGTCGGTTTCCTTATGTAAGACCGGCAGCCCTATGAAGGCTTGGAAGCTGAACAGTCCGGCTCTGGGAGCCGAACGTGTCGGGTTTGGGGAGAATGACAACCAAGCTAAGAAACAAATAATGCGCCCGAGGGGTCGGCAAAGCGGCAGAGTTTGATTTGCAAAAATTAAGCAAAAAAAGGGGACCAGAATTTCAAGACCGAGGTGCCTATCGTCGGCCCGCGACATAGAGTTAGAAGAATTTCTCGATGCCGGGAGATGATCGCTGCAGGATATTGGACGCCGAACACAATTAATACGAGCGGGGAACAAGCTGCCTGCTTCTCTCGATCAAGGCCCTTAGTCTTTGGGCCCCAAAGAGCCGGCTCCAGCCTGGTGCAGTGCACAGCCTGGAAACTGGGGAAATGGAGGAGCTAACCGGCCAGTCGGCTTTGAGTGTTTCGAGAGGAGAGGAGTAGCGGGCGGGAAGAAGGGGGGGGCACCATCTGTGTGAGACTGGTGAGTTTGCGACTGTGAGAGACTCAAGACTACTGTATAGTGATTGATGAATGACAAAGTGAGTTGTCCAAGGAGGAATGAATGGATGGATGGATGGATGGACATGCGACTAACAAGCTTGAGACACCGCCCGCGCTGAACATGAGACTCGGTCGGAAATATGGCTGCCGGGTGGGAATCTCGGAGGGAGGAGCGCACCGTAGATCCTCACCTGCCCAACTACCTTGCCGGGACACCGAGAGGAAAGTACCTTCCATTACTGTACCTCTCACCTCTCTAAGAATACCACTGAATCCTGACAGAGACACCCTACCTACCGTGCCAACCTACCTTACTCCGTACAGCCGTACAGAAAAGGAACAGAAACGAGGACGACAAGAAACAAGACACAGAAACGAGACAAGAAGAGGCACGCCGCACCACTGACAACCACCACCGCCCCCTTTCTTTTCCGTTGCATCGCATCTGTGATCTGACCCTGACCTCGTGCCTAGTATCCAATACTTCCCGCCCCCGGCGAACCGGCACGTCTCGTTAAAACATCCCATCTTTCTGGATTGCCGTCTTACCCTGGTGTGTGCCGACTTACACCGCGCGACGTGACGGCCACGGCGCACGCACATCATACAGCACTTGACAGCCAGACGGCAAGCGAGTCGCTACTACGTATAGTTCGACGGCGGACGGGGTGGAGGGGCGGAGCAAGGCCCTCTTAGTCCTTAGCAAGGCACGACGTTACCAAAGACGAACTAGACAGAGGGAACCCGCGCGCCCGCTGGTCAAGTTGCGCGCCCGGGGCCATGGCACCGCGGGCGTGCCCCCTCTACCCGTACGCGGTATGCAGTACCTGGCAGAGGTAGGCAGCCCATCCTTAGATGGAACCTTTCTAGAAAGAAAATGCTAATGCTAAACAGAAATCCAGACAAGGGACGACGGTGGGTGGGATAGAGAGGAAACACGGAGACCCGACGATTAGGAAGCTTTGATCCCTTTCGGACGGAGCGGAACGCGAGGAACGCATTACCTACTCAAGAAACCTACGCCATTACCGCTCTGTACACTATGGGAGAAGGTACCGACGGTAACCAAGACTTGAGGTCGGGGACCCAAAGTATCGCCAATCTATAAACTCCCTTCATCCTCACCACCCAGGATGCCTGTCCAACAAGCCAACCCCGTCTTGTTTCGGGGCGACTCAAGCGGACCCTCAGCATCACAGAAACATGACTTTCGCACTCCGCTCAAGTATGTACTCAAGTACCTACCTACCTACATACCTTGCATGCCTCTGGAGTCCTGGACTAGGTGCGAATATGCATCTCGCGCCGGCCGGCATTCGGGGGCCCGCGCAAACCAACTCTAAAAGGCCAATGGGTGAGATCATCGTCAACCGCAGTCTCATCTGCCCACAACGCTTCTAATTATGTCTAATCGCACATGGCCTGGTTGATCGCCTCCCTCACCCTCAAACATCACTTCACGTCGTTATAAAACCAAACCAAGCCAAACGTTTCCCGACTTAGCAGCCCCCATCCCCCCCATGTGGCATGAACCACTTACCGCGTTGCCCCCTCCTTCCCACGCGACGCACGTGCAGAAATTCCAGGGACGGACGACCAGCTTGGATGTAACTCGCTCCGACACTGATGGGCAAAACAACTACCTTATTTTTGGGCCTGTCAATGTTTTGGAATAAAATCGAGCAGCAGTTGCCACTGGCCAGCGGCCCCTCTCCGCTCGCTCGCTTTCGCTGATCGGTTTGGTTTTCCTCTCGCCCTTGGAGATTGGGAAAGGGGGGGCACACGTTGAATGTCACACACACACACTTTGCTGTACGGATACAAGACTCCTCTCAGGTTGGTTGAGTTGATATGGAAACGTTCCTCGCAGCCCGTTAACTCCGAGATCTTCTCACTTTGGTATTGCTTAACTTGTGTTTACATCACAGGGACTTTGCAGGGAGACAGAGTGGTCAGAAGTGCTGACTAGGCTTCGTAACCACGGTACGTGGCCCCCCCAATCTGCAAGAGAAGGCCGGCCAAATGTCCGGAGAAGGAGGACGAATGGGATAGTAGAGGCGCAATTTCAACGACCTCGGGAATTCGCCAGACCAACTCTGGACTCCCCGATGCCCACTTTATGGCACTGACCTAGGATTCTAATGTAGCGGCGTAATGATGCGTTGTTTCCCGCTCTTTGGGTGGTGCTCTTGGTGCCCATCAATATCATCGGGGGTGGCGCAGAGGGCAATGCCAAGACATTTTGGAAATCACCAACGGAACACGCGCCAGGATTACTTCTCTTACAGGAACTTACACCACGCACGCGAGCCAGTATGAAGTATATCGCTCACCTACACAGTACGTCTCCCAGCCTCCCAACCCCGGTTCGATGATTCCATCTCCTCCCCCGGCTTCATTCGAATTGGTCAAAGGAAAAAGAAGAAGCTGCACAGCCTAGCTCACCGGTTCCGTGAGCCGTGGTATACAGAGTTCCGCGGTTTGGACATCATAGTGTGTCGTCACTTACACGGGGCGAGCTAGCCCATAGTCGTATTTCAACGACGACGCGCTCTGGCTTCATCATCGCCAAGACGTTTTGACTCGACCGTTGCGCGTCGTTGCTGCAAAGTCATCGGTCTTCACGCCGATCCCAGAAGGAAGCAAAAATCTGAAATTAGATTTTCTGTTCCTTCACTGGTTCATGGTGACGGTTGTTGGAACTTTTTTTTTTTTTTTTTTGCGGTGCAAGTACGCGGATAGGCAGCAGTATTTCCTCCCCGTTACCGAAACTTTATTTTCTCGGTAACACGGCTATGCGGCCTTAGTCGAACGATTGATGTTTATCCTTTGTCATCACGGACTATCTGGGACTCGATATGTCTCTGTCATTACTCCGTACGGATATTGAAATGACTGACATTTCGTGATGTCCTCTATGTTGTCTAGCGACGGCGCGACGGCAAGACAAGCTTTCTGCACAAAAAGCCTTCTTCGGCTACATGCTCAGTGCTGAGAAAGCGTTGGTGAACGGTAAGGAAGTTGCGTCGCGTGATCAAAGATGAGAGACCCCGAATCGGCGAACAATTAAAATAAAGTATCTCATGAAGCAAGGAAACAATGACTATGCGCAATGTTGAAGCAATGGTATCACGCAGACTGTCATGCAAGGCTGCCTAAAACTTTACCATGTGAGAACCTTTTGAATTATCGGATCTGTACGCTTGTATGTAGAAATCCCGAACCTGCGAAGGAACCATTCAATCCATCCTTCGCGATATACAGTCGCTATTCGCAAGTTTTTGGAGTTCCCTCTTGGTATGGTAAACTCGGTGAGGGGATCCGTACCTCGAATATTCCCGTCCCGTCCTCCAGGTTTCGATCGAACGAAGAGCCCGCGCCCCGCCAATCACGGAGCCCGGGCCTCTGAACGGCGGGGAGGGGGAAAGGACGCACCAGAACCCGCGCCCCACCATGGAAGAAGCCCGGACCAAGCTCAAGCTCATTTTCCCACCGAACCTCACCCTAGTCTTTTCGGAAACATCCCAGCCGCCAAAAAACACACCCACGATCTCTCGACGACGTCACACCCCGCGACGACGCCCTTGTCGAACGAATCGAACGAATATCGAGGGACGTTTTTCGAATTGAAACCAGGCCCCGATAGCAGACCTCTCAAGCAAGACCGCAGGACCTAACCCCCCTTCTACAAACACACGACACGGCACAACCCGGCGGCGCAATGGCGGATAGAGGCTCACACAGAGGCGGCGGCCGAGGCGGCGGAGGAGGAGGAGGAAACTACCGCGGCGGAAGGGGAGGAGGTCGCGGCGGCGGCGGCGGCGGTGGTGATCGAGGCGGTGCCCAGGGCTCGGGCGGCGACCGCGAGAGGCCCAAGAAGGAGAATATCCTCGACTTGTCAAAGTATATGGACAAGCAGATTACTGTCAAGTTCAACGGCGGGCGCGAAGGTGCGTTTTTCTGTTCTCTGGTCTCGTTTCCCTTTCCCCTTCCAACCTCTCCCCCCAATGGTTCTTTGGAGGGGAAGAGAGGGGAAGGGGTTGGATCGTGCCTGTATCGGTAGCTAACGTCGGGGAAACCAACTACAGTCACCGGAACGTTGAAGGGATACGATGCGCTGATGAACCTGGTGCTGGACGAGGTCCAGGAAGTCATGAGAGGTACGTGTGTCTCTGTCTCTGCCTTTGCCCCATGCTTGGCGTAGACCAGAAGTTGGGGGAGGAGGGGGGGGAGCTCAATATGGCTTCGCGGCTAACGAGAAACAAACAAACAGACGAAGAAGGAAACGAAACGACCAGGTCCCTAGGCCTCATCGTCGCCCGCGGAACCCTCCTCGTCCTCGTCAGCCCCGTCGACGGAAGCGAGCCCATAGCGAACCCGTTTGCGCAGCCCGAGGAGGAATGAATGAACTCTAAAAGGGGGGAGAGGAGTCAGGAGGGGTGGACTCGACTTGATATCCTAGCTGTGTGTGTGAGGCAGAAAAGGAAGGCAAGGGAAGGGGGGGCCCAATCCAGCGACACTCATCAATGAGGCATGGCTTTTTCTTTGTGCTCTGCGAGATGGGGGTGCGACTTGAAGCTGGACGTATGGGTAAACGCGAGACGGTAATGTTGCCTGCGTGTTGTAGGCATGCAGCATACATCAGCAGGAGGACATGAATATGATGATGGCATATCAAAAAAGATCCACCAGATAGAAAGACCAACGGAAAAGAGAAAGGGGGTGGTGGTGGGAGGTTATGGCACAAATATCATAACGGCGGGAAGAGCAGCATGAGTGAGGGCCTTTGCGGATCCCCCAGCCTCACAACCTCGTGCACGACAAACATGAATGAAAAAGAGATTTATTTCGTTACTGTTCTTTACCCGCGTTCGTACTCTCCCATCTAACCGCATCCCCACACAGTCAGCGAGACCGCTCACTCTCCTTTCTCTATTCCTTCTCTGCTCACTCCGAAGGCTCCTATACGCTCCTCTTATACGTTCAAACCTGGCAAGCAAGCGAGTGAACACATTGCGTCCACTCGTCGTCTCACGCGCCGTTCCAACCGTTCGTTCATCCGTAGTCCAACGTTTCAAAAGCAATGCGAGGTCAGTCATCACACTCCGTAGTGGTTTCTCGCATCGTTCGAAACGCAGCCCCTTGTATTGCAATTCAAGTACGTCGAAGCCTCGTTCCCCGTCCTTTCGTGATCGTGATCTCGATCCTTGTCGTGACCGTGGCAATCCCAGCCCTCCCCGTTCTAGTGAGAGGTGCCCTGGAACCCTCGGTTCGACGTCTGTTTCCCTGCCTTGAGAAGCTCCCCGAAAGCGTTGCCGAGCTGTTTCCTCAGCTCCTTATAGCTGACGACAAAGCTCGTCTGCTCGTCTCGACTCGTGAGGCAGATTCGGTCGTCGCTGCCGGCGTCCAGCCTGTTGAGGCATCGGATAATGTGGCCCATGTCTACTACGGGGTTCCCGTTCGCGTCGACTTGGTGGAACACGTAGTCCCGGAATAGTTTGAGCATGTACCGCTCGCCGTTTTCTGACCAGTTCCTGTCGCCGTCGAATTCCTGGCGTTCGTTGACGGCACCAAGCTTGGCCATGAGGCGCACTATGCGGCCGTTTTCTAGTTCGCGGAACAAATCCGACTTCAGGGCGTCCGCTTCCTGTAAACTGGCATCCAGCGTGGCAACCATGTGGACTGCAATGCCCCGGACAAATTCTTCTATACCCTTGGGCGTGGCACCAACCTGAGAGGGAGTCAGAAGCCACAAGACAGTATCCGTGATTTCTTTCGAGTAAACCCTGCTCATCTGTTCCATCGACCCTTTGAGGTTCGTGAGCTGGTTCGGCGGCGTGTTAGTAGCTAGTGATAAAATGAGTTTCCCGAAATGAATCAAGTCCTCTTGTTGCAGCTCCTGAACGGGCCGACGATTGTCGAACTGAACGACGTCCAAAATAGAGCAGGCACTCAGCCGGATGCGATTCTTGTCCGTCACAATGACCTTGCTCATATCAAGGCATCTCGCAGCCAGATTCAATGTGTGGATGGCCTTCAAGGCATTGGCTATCTGGGAAATATAGCCCCATAGGACGCTTTCGGTTATGGGGTTCTTTGCGCTGAAGCGGGTGCCGTGGGTGGAAGCTGGTTGAGAAAAGTGAAGTTCGGCGAGTGTCTTGGAGAGGGGATGGTAGTCTTGTACGAAGAACAGGGAGCTATCGCCAAATGCTCTAGTGGTGAAGGCGTCGTGAATGCCCACCACATTGCCGTTGTTGAGCCTTCGCCACTCCTTGACAGAGCGAATAGCTTGCTCGTTGGTTAGTCGGTACCCTGTTCTGCGTTAGTAATGTCGAGGATAGGCATTGCCGCAGAGCATACCCTCAAGCCGTCTGAGGCAGTATGTTTTGCCGTTCTTCGAGGATGTAGCCTTGTACACCCATGTGGTGTAGCCAAAGACGCTGGAACTCTTCCGATGACTGGTATCAAGGGGAACGAGGGAGTAGTAGTTGTCTAACGGAGGTAGTGTCGAGTCTACAACAGCATTAGAAATCTATAGTACCTGTTGTTCATTGTATAGCTTACTTGGCATGACCTGCTGCAAGGCCTCGGACTTGCGTTGCATCTCCTCGCGCATCTTCTCAGGTAAGAAGAAGTCGTGGATTTGCCTTTGGAACGGCATTAAATCGTCTCGATACGGCCCAACCGGTGCGTACAGATGGTATTGGAGCTGCCGGACGTCAGTTTGGGCATAGAAAAACATCTGGATCGCGTCCTCTCACCGGTTGAAGCGGGGCTGTGTAAGCATTTTGATGTTGGAAGTAGGCCCCTGAGCCAGCAAGTCCGGTAGGATCATCGGCATAAGGGTTGAAAGGTGTGGCCGGTAATGGCTGGGCAACATTGGGCATAGCAAAGGGGTCAAATGAGAGCCCTGTCTCGGAAGCTGAGCCATTGGCAGTGATCTGTTTCAATGTTAGTCTCAACTAAGCTGTTACACATAGTTATCCATACGCCAGTGCTCAACTCAAAGTTTGATGGAGTAAATTCTCGAAATGTAGCAGGGTTAAATACTGTCGATGCCGCTTCTCCATCTGGAGCGGCGGCTGGCGTCGCAGCTGTGAAGAAGTTAGATGAGATAGTCCGTGATACAATACGGCTCAAGACGTACAGCCTGCTCCTCTGGGAGTAAAAACGGCTGCACTCGCAGCCTGGGAAGAAAATGTCGATTTCTTGGAGCCCGCTATCGTATTTGCACTCGGTGATGCTACCGAGGGCAGACCGGCGGGTGTGAATGAAGGCGAGTCGACATTGAGGGCCTTTCTCGCGCTGTTAAAAACCAACTGTTAGCTTTCTACCATTACTGCTTGTCGTTAGGTTTGATTGTTGCCCGTCTCAATGCTCGCTCTACGAGTTAGTGGTCTACATCTTATCCTCTATGGCGCTGTCCAAATTTCATTCACATTTCTTTGACCACAGCCGTAGTCCACATCGACCATTAGGTGACTAGTCCGAGTTCCACGGACATCTTGCTGCATATCGCGATGTAGGCCAGAGCCGATCGGCGGGACTTCATCCAAGACTGAAATTCAAAGATCCAACTCCTCCTTCTATGCGACGTAGGTCTCAATGTCGAGGAATTTAGTCCGCCGTAAGGCTTGCCAGGCACACGTATCGCCGGAGTCTAGCAGCACTGCTGATCCTGTGCCAAGGCCTCTGCAACCGAGGCGCCTCCTTTTCCTCCAGCAGAAGAGCATCAGGTCTTGATAGCGAATATCGACAGTTCTCGAGCATTTCGGACGGGTCTTTGGGCCATGGAGGTCGGTCACGATAGCGAAACGGATCTGGACTGTGACCTACAAATCAGATTGGTTGCTCTGTCCTCCGGGACTATTCTGGACCGAGTTGGAACGATTCTGGTCGTGGTTGAAGGCGCAACCGGTGTTCTCGTATCGGCAGTGTCCGTATATCATGACGTTTCGGCATAAGGTCTCTTTGTTTTCTAAGCCAATTGACAAGGCGTCAGCAATACTGTGACGGCAACGTGGTCGGAAGGGCGTCATGCGCGTTGACTCGCCTCGGATTTTGGGTTTCGGCGACCCAACTTGTCGACGGAGGTCGGACTGGGGGTATCGCGAGGTGGCCATGATCAGTAGTTTCGGTGGAAGAAAGTTTCGCCCCCTTGGTCGACGTTACGACGTCTGCACAGAGTCAGCCAAATCCAAAGCCCATGATCGAGTTGTCGTCGAGGTCGTTTTCATGGTATGGACGCGCGCGCGCTGGGTGTGGACGGGGGGGAATTCAGGACTTGGGCTGTCTGAGCGGGGTGGAGAGAAGACAAAGGCGGGCAAAGAAGAAGGACTGGAGCTCGCGTGGGGCCTGGCGCGAAGCCGGACTGGGGGCAGAGGACATTTTTGGGCAGACGCACTTGATCCTTGCAGACATTTGCCATGGCTCGAACACGTTTGGTGGGGTAGGTGTCTCGATCATGGACACGATGCCGTGCACCAGGCGAGGGTCGAGGTTGACGGCAGATCAATTTGGCGGATGATGCAAGGCAACGGAATGAAGTCGGAATAAGGTCCAGTCGAGATAGCACCTTAGGTAAGGCGAGGGCAGAAGTAAAGCACCGATGCGCGCACCGTATCTTTTCTTGGAAGGATGCGTACGGATATGCAGCCCAGCGCAGGAAAGGCGGGAGGGACCAGGAAGGACAGAACAGAGGGAAAAACAGGGACCGGCGACAACGGCGCGACGGGCGGCGGAGCAGTCCAGTGAGGTAGGTGGTTTATGTGGGTGGGAAGACAGAGAGGTCAGATTTGCTACCGCGCGGCCAGGGAATACCGAAACCTACACAGGAGCGGGAGTTGGCGGTGCGAGCGGAGGTTAGGCGTGGTGGGAATGGAACCAACCCAAAGTCAAACCAGCTTACTGCGTAGGTTGGGTCCAGGATGTACTGAGAGAGGGGGGGGGGGGACGATGACACACCCTCGCGACATGAAAACCGCTTAAAGTCAATGCTCTTGCACTATCAATCAGCATTCGTGAGTGAACGCACTGGATTTGGCCATAAAAAGTATGTCATTTCCACAATATCCGAGCGATCATAACATCTAGGTTGGAGCGGCCTTCACTTGGTGCATAACGAGGTGGATGTCACTCTCTCACGAGCCAGCTCATATACATTGCATGAATGCTGGCCTGCTGTTACCCAGCCTCGTGAATATCGATATTTGATGTGGGAATGATAGCGGTATTGGCATTCATGTTCCACCTAGGTAGGTAGCATATCGCGTCAACTGAGGATATAAAGCACATTACCGTATGGAAGACACTATCCGTATGTATCATCTGTTGGATACCCTGATGATTTCTAAGATTCTGGCACTTCCTTATAGTACTTGTAGCTGAGGAAAGATCATGTAGGTGTCCGCCCATACTTCACATCGCAGCGGGGCTATGTACCTATCCGACACGTCTCCCCTCCCCTCATCGGACAGATGCAATTGCCATGTCTCCAGATAAGCGATAAAGCATACTCTTTGTGGCGTCACGAACGCGATTCGTCGCGCAGACGCCAGCAGTAGGTACTCCGTACGGTACCTTACTTCATGTACCTTGCCAAGCCCTTGAACATCCGACCTCCGCCCACGGACAAGTGTCGTCACCGGGCAAGACACTCTCGACAATCAGCTGCGACTAGCGGAGCATCTCAGACACCCGGTCACTTGCTACCAACGCATCCAGCCTCTCGTCAACGAGCTGCATCAAAGCCCAAAGCCGCTCCTTTGATTCTTGACTTTGTTCCTCTGTCTGCCCCACAGATCCAACTGTATTGTATTTCTTACTTCACGGTCAAACAACCGACCTTTGCCAATTTATCACGACTTTGGCAGGCTGCTGCAACTACCGCGGAAGGGCCCTTCTCCGCTGCCTTGCTTAGCCACGTTGCTCTTCGCTGTAACCAGCCCACTTCCGCCCTAGGCCTGACTCCTTTCACAACGTCAACCTGCGCAATCACCTATCTCCATGGACCACTGAAGCTGCCTTTGGACTGTATTCATCGTCGCTTCGACATATTCGCCAATCTTGACTTTGTGTGCAGCACCCAACGACAGCATGGCGGAGAGCGGAGACGTAGATTTGGGACAGCTGTCTGCGAGTCAGCAAGAGTCCCTCCAGCAATACACAAGTGTCACAAATCAGGAGCTCAAGGATGCGATACCGCTGTTGCAGCGATCGCAATGGAACGTCCAGGTAAACTTTTGCGACGCGGCACTGGCCAGCTTGTGAATTATACTGACTGATCTGGGTACAGATCGCCATCGCCAAGTTCTTCGACGGCGAAGGCCCTGATCCTGTCGCGGAGGCAATGGCACAGGACATCCCCCGGACAGAAGCGCGGCACGAGAACCTTCAAGAGAGTCTGCTTGCTTCTGCAGCCCGTCCGCCGGCTCCTCGGAGAGATCGACCCGACCCCGCGCCGCGAATCGTTCCTCAACCGAATACAGTCCACCGTCCGCCATTCCTGATCGGGTTGCTCTTGGCACCTTTCAGCATCGGTTACAGCATCGCATCTAAGATGTTTCGGACCGTCTTCTACCTGCTCAGTTTCCTTCCCCGACAGATCCGGCCACGAGCCATCACGAGCGGGCCGGGGAATGGACTACGGAGTACCAACGGGCGCCGGATGCTCATGCCCCGAGACACGGCGGCGCGATTCAAGCGTGAATTCGAGGAAGAGTATGGAAGCACCGAATTGCCCTGGTTCGAGGGCGGTATTGCCCAGGCACAAGACCTGGCCAAGAAGGAACTCAAGTTCTTACTTGTTGTTCTCATGTCGCCTGAACACGACGATACCGAATCTTTCACGAGGGAAACTTTACTGAACCCGGATGTCGTCAGCTTCATCAACGACCCGGCGAACAATGTTATCTTGTGGGGCGGCAACATCCTGGACTGTGAAGCGTACCAGGTCGCCCAGGAATACAACTGCACAAAGTACCCATTTTCGGCGATCGTCTGCCTCACGCCCAAGGAAGGAAGCACTAGAATGAGCATCATCAAGCGGCTTGCTGGCCCGATGCCGGCTGCTGCATACCTTGCGGAAGCTCAGACCGCCATCAACAAATACGCACCAGATCTAGCCGGTGTCCGAGCAGAGAGGACGGCACAAGAGGTGGCACGCAGTCTGCGAACTGAGCAAGATACTGCCTACGAACGATCGTTGGCCAAGGACAGGGAGAGAGCGCGACAGCGGCGCGAGGCGGAAAAGGCCGCGGCAGAAGCTGCGCGCAAAGCCGAGGAAGAGGCCGAAGCTGCAGCAAGGCGCGAGGAGCTTGGCGATAAGTGGAAGCGCTGGCGGGCGACGACTATGGAAGACGAGCCACCAGCCAGTAACAAGGATGTGGTACGGATTGCGCTGAAGATGCCCGAGTCGTCTGGGGCCGGAAGAATCGTGCGCCGGTTCCGCAACGACACAACGATGGAAACGCTATACGCTTTCGTGGAGTGTTACGATGTGTTGACGGCATCAGAGGAAGTGTCAGAGAAGGCCGCTGTCAAGCCCGAGGGCTACGAGCACGAGTATCAGTTCCGCATTGCATCTGTCATGCCCCGGGTGGTGTACGAACCCAGCAAGGAGGAAACGATGGGCCAGAAGATTGGGCGGTCAGGGAATCTGATCGTGGAGGAAGTGTCGGCCGACGGCGAGTCAGACTCCGGCGAAGAATACTCGTCGTAGATGGAGACGGTACGACCAGGGCTAATCATCAAGCAAGTGTAGGATGGCGCAAGGCAGAGCAAGCATTAGTAGAAAACCGCGCCATTTTGTACGCGCAGTGACGGGGCAGCCAATAATAACCATTCAAGACACTGTCGCGAGCATTGAAGAACGTTGTCAGCAAGCTGCAGGATACAATAGCTTCTTATCGCCGAAAGCTAACCGCGGGAGCCGTATATCCATCTTGGGCAAGCCAAGGAAGCCCATCAGCACAAGGCCGTGAAGTTCAAAAGAGGGTAACGACGTTGGCACGGAAGGCAACCTAACGATGTACATATCACCCCCAGGTATCTGTAAGTGTATGCCAAAGAGGGGTTGATTTGCGTGGCCTCCTGTGTCTGGCGTCTTGGGAGTTCCCCACTAGACGATGGGAGGCCGAAGGGGAAAGTGTGTAGTGTGTACCGCACGCGATGTAGGTGGCAGGTCCCGTGGCGCTGTTTGACCGTACACGTACGTGTTGAGGATGTTGCTGCTTGCGTGGATGAGTGAGGCTGTGCAGGAACGACTGTGCAGACCAACACTTGGCTTGCCTAGCCGTGGGGTTTGGCAGTTGAAAATTTGTGTAGGTCGGCTGCGAAGTCGAGAAGAGGGCTGATCGTTATGGTCGGATTTCTCTTAATCACAATGAAAAACAACAACATCAAGACATATTGTTTGTCTAGCTTGGTGTTTACGTTAATACGAGTTGCTGTATTGTTGAAGGAGCAGATTTGCCATCCGATCATCTGCGGGAGGAAGACCCTGAATTATGGCATAAACGTAGACTGGACCGTCGTACCCGCCTGCATACGTCAAAATGGGGGGATGTCTCTAGTTAATGCGACCCCCAATTTTTGACGTGGTCCTCTCCAAATAAAGTAGAAGCCAAACCATAAAGGAGAAGGATGGATAAACATTCCAGTAAAGCGTGATGGGTTGTGTAGACTCGGGGCACATGTGGCAGCTATGCTAAGCATGCCAAAGTCTTGAAAATTCTTCGGGTAAGGTAAGGTCCGAACAACATGAGGAAGACACGGATGGATAGGATCTGATGAGGAGGAGGATTACTCCCGTCTGGACGGATACCTACAGAGGAGGAAAGATCCAAAACCAAAGTTTGGTGGTTTCGAGGTCCCCACCACCTTGTGAGCTGTGAGATACGTACCAGAGATCGGTGCAAGGTCTCCCCAGGCACTGCCGTCTTCTCTGGGGCCTCTGGGGCCTCTTGCGCATCACTTTTTGCCATCCAAGTCGTCGTCATGCCTGCTCCAAACTCGACGCCCGCGACACTTGTACCTGGTCTGAACAACTCGCCGCAGCAAAAGGTGCGACGAGCATACCTTCATCGGCCCTTCGTTTCTTCTCGTGGTTCGCATGCTTACCTTCATCCTAATCTGACATGATTCGCTCCAACCAGCAACGACAACGTTGCAAGGGTCTCTAACAACTGGCTAGAAACACTGAAATCTTCCCTTCGTCCATTATTATCGTTCCTCATCAACACCAAATACCAATAAACAAAAAAGACTCCTTCGTCTTCCTCCCTCTTACCAAACGAAGCATCTGCCCAGGCCCGAAAACAAACCGGCGAACAGCCACACTCGTTTGCGCCATCCTCCGCGAGACAGATCCCCAAGAAGCGCTACCAGCAGAGTATCAAGGTTAATCAAAGCCACCGGCAACGTCCGGCATTCGCAAGGCCAAAGACTACCGCCGCCGCCGCTACGTGACCTCGACTCCGTACCGCGGTCAGTAACTCTCCTCGCACCACGCACTCGGAGAGGCGCAGACAAGCCCACTCGACCCGAACCCTTGCCAGGCGCCGCCGTCTCCCTCCTCTCACACGCCGAGACGCTCGACACTTGGGGCTTTCCAATCAGCCCGCCAAAACTTCTCTAACGGTCCAACAGACCAGATACCGCACTACGCACCATTACAGCACACGCTTAAAAGGACCCCGTGGACGGTGGACAAGCGGGACGCCGGGCTGAGGTTTAATTTAAAATAACCCCCCAGTTCGTCTGGCCCGTCCGACCTTGCCTTACCCTTCCCCTCCGAGCGTCACTTCCAGGCTGCAGCTCAACTAGGCCCTGCGCATCCGTACCTATTTCTTCCAAACTCCCGCCGCTTGCCTGCAACCCACGCCCCCCGACACATACGCGCACAGCTTCCCGCATTGCTGTCATTCCATTCACCGAACCTTAACTTTTTCCCACAGACAATCCGCCCTTCGTCCATTCACTTCAGTCGTTCACGGCCGCTTTGCGATATCTTGCGACGTTCATATCAGCATCTCTTCTGAACATCCGACCACTCCGCTTCGACTCGGGCACTTTTCCCCTTTGTCCGTTGTAGGACCCCTAGATCCGTGCTTCCGACGCAAGTCTCCCGTCCCCTCGCGGCTCAGCGCTCCTCCGCCCGCCGGTTCCGCGACCGCAAAGATGAAGGCCATGAAGGGGCTTAGTGTGAATCGGATGATGAGTACGCTCAAGAAGCGAACGACGAATAGTGAGTAGAAACCGCCATACAAGCCAATCCCCTCAACCATCTTCAGGGTGATCCCGAAGGGAATGCTGATTGATATCTCTCCCCGCAAGACTTCAGTGGATCCAGCCAAGTGTCGGCATCGCCAGTAGACCCGCAGAACGAGACGCCCGAAGCTACGGCTGCGCGTAGCGTGGTATGCAAGACCCGGCCTTTCCTACACCAACGATCACAGCTGACGTAGTGCTCAGAAACAATTCTGTGAATCTGGGGGCCCCAATGCTCAGGTATATACTTGATCGCGACAATTTGTGCTCTTGTAGAGCTTCATGCTAACAGGATGTCCAGGGTGATGAAGTTCTCTACCTCCCGCCCATTGTCGATGCCGCTGAGTCTTCTCCGGCGGCAGCCGCCGAATGCGCGCGCATCATCCGGAAATACCTAGCCAAAGACAACCACGCCAAAGCCTCGTGGCAGTACAATGCCATCATGCTGATTCGCATCCTTACCGACAATCCCGGCCCCACGTTCACGCGGAACATGGACAAGAAGTTCGCCGATACCGTCAAGGAGTTATACCGTACTACGCACGATCCCAGTGTCAGACAGATGCTATCCGAGACATTGGATACCTTCGAGGCTACCAAGTTTGACGACCAGGGTCTGGGCGAGTTGATCTCTATGTGGAAGAAGGAGAAGGAACGAAGCTACAAGCAATATGGCGTAAGGACACCTAAGAAGGCCTTCGATTCCGTTCTTGCCGAACTAACATATTTCGATAGAACCCCAGACAGTCTATGGCTGGCCCCGATCCTCGGACCATGAACGCGCCGCCATTCAATCCCCATTCGCAGAATTATTTTGCAAGAAATCACACCAATCGAAGCTTGCCTACCCCCGTTGAGCTTGCAAGTAGGTTAGAGGAGGCGAGAACATCTGCAAAGTTACTTTCTCAAGTTGTCGTCAATACTCCTCCCCAGGAGGTCATCAACAATGACCTGATCAAGGAGTTCGCGGACAGATGCCAGAGTGCTTCGAGAAGTATACAATTGTACATGACTGCCGAAAACCCGTCTCCCGACAATGAGACTATGGAGCACCTGATCGATACGAACGAGCAACTGCAGTCAGCGCTCAACCAACATCAGAGAGCGGTTCTAGGCGCTCGGAAGCAGCTCGGAATTGACCCGAGGTCAGATAATGCTAGCCCCGTGAGCCCCCAGACGGCCGAGTCTCAGCAAGCGAGTCGAACCCAAGAATGGGCGCATGCCCAGGCCCAGTCGTCATCTTCTAGTTCGACCCCTCCTCTTCCGACAAGGCCATCCGAAGGAAGCGGAAAGGGCAAGGCATCAGAATCCTTCGCCCCACCCCCAGGACCGCCCCCGAAAGCCCAACCGCAATATGGGGCCGAGGACCCATTCAGGGACCCCCAACCGGAGAACCACTACTCTTCATCGAGCAGACCCGGAGGGTCCGGTGGTGCGGTGGAACTACCGGGCGAGGAGCCGCGGCTGGCTCATGAACCATTCCATCCAGGCTTCAACCCCACTCCAAGCTACCTTGGAAGACAAGACAGCGCTCTTGGCAAAATCACGATGCATGGCGCCGACGAAGCCACTACGCCCGGACCCCTCAGCGGGAACCCGATTCAGACTGTCGACCTTAGGAACAGGCAAGAGACACTGCATGAGGACTCGGATGATGATCTTTACGAATCAACCCCGAAGAGTTCCAAGAAGAAGGACCCGGTGTACAGGTACTAGGTTGGGTGGCGGAAGCTCGATTCTGTGAGATGATGTATCCTGCCATGTTTTGTTGATCAGAAAAGGGGGGTATTTTCCCTGCGCATATTGCTTTACAGTTCTCGCAAGGGAAAGATTGGGTATCTTGTGGTGGTGTTCTCATCTCCCCCAAGACAGATGAAATTTGCCGCTCTTGATGAGCGAACACAGTTGTCGATTATAGGCATTAGCAAAGCACGGCGTCTGGCTTACGAGTTTACCTCTATGAAATCAGACCTTTTTATCCTCAGGGAAGTGACAATGCTCTTTTGTCGTCGCTCTTAACCAGAGGAAGTGATGAGGCAATGGTACAGAAGGAGCTGCTTCTGGTGCTGTCGAGAGGGAAAGTGGGATCAGAGAGAGACGTTTCGCTACGTATTAAGTTGTAGGCAGTCTTCAACGTGGTTCCGAACATGTGGTCTTCACTTCGCCATTTTCATCTCGTTCCCCCTCCTGCAGAACGTTACAGATTATCTCTGCGCCCCTCCGATTGTTTTTTGCTCACAGTCCAGCCAGGACAGCAAGGTCTTCGCAGCTATTGAGAGAAATAGGATGCCCCTGAGACGCAGCGATCGGTATGGCACTAACACGACTGTAGAAACGAGAGCGATGCCACGGCTATCTAGCTCGATGCACTCAAGTCTTCATTCACCCCGGTTTACTTTCCAGAGTAATGCCATGGAAGCCATCACCCAAGCGTGTAAGTCCTGGTACTCCACCTTCATTCCTCCAACACTGTATACGGCCTTCCTGCCTCAATGCGACGCTGACTGCTACACTGCAGTTGAGCGGCGTTGCCTCGCTCAACGAAGGATTACTATCAGTTTCTACTGGGCGCCGAAACTTCTTTCGTGGCGAAGCAGTCATGAGGCACCTAGACGTGCCGCAAACCCCCAAAGTATACTCCAATCATCAGCGACGACTTCAGATCTACATCATATATCAGCCCGCAGAAATACGTCAGAGAAGTCTTGTAAAGCAGGCTGCGAGGCGTTCTGGGGAGGCAGCCAAGCTTACAATAAGCATCTAATTTCCGTCGTGACGACAGGCTATCCTCTACCACTGCTTCAAAAGGTGATGTACTTGTCTACTCGGATGAGCATTGCACTCTTGGCTCCCTCCCTTTCTGCTGATCAGCCGAGTCTACTTACCACCATTCAGAAGAAGATTCGGAGGGCACAGTAATCCCCGACTACATCACCGAACGGACAACATGCAAGACGATACGGGCCACAATACGTCGGCTATCAGGCCTGGGGAACTCTAAAAGGTTCAAGGGCTTTGGAAGTTTCAGGTACAACGTGTCAAGGCACAGACTTGGGCTTATCGGGATATCAAGTTCCTAGTGTATGATGACACCGCCGACGCGGACGAGGGCGACTCGAAGACAGGCAAGACCAGCGAGAACACCGCGATCTTCGAGAGGCCTCCCAAGTTCATGCCGACGAGCTCCGATCATAATTCATCTGTTGCACTACAAACCCTTGGAGATGGAGACGAAGATCTCATGTTCAAGCAAGCAATTATCTCATCTTTGAAGCAACCGCACTCGGAAGCCGGGCCAGCTGCGGCATTTGAGCATCCTCCAGAAGACGACGACATGGACGATCCAGATCTTCAAGAGGCCATTCGCATGTCCTTGATGAGTGACGATGAATCCAGCGACGGACCAATTACGGCGGAGCCTTCGAGCCCGACTGCTGGATCATCTACAGCATGCAAAAAGGCCCCCGAAGACGAGAACATGGATGATCCAGAGCTTCAGGAGGCCATCCGTCTATCATTGATGAGTGACGGTGAGTCTAGTAACGCACCAATTTCAGCAGAATCCGGGCCTTCTATTGCCAACGAAGACGACGATGAAGACGCCTTCGAATGCAGAATATGCTCGAAGCTACCCACGTTTCCCCACGACAAAAAGACACGGAACTTCCGCCTTTTCAAACCAGCGGACGAGTTTCCTCATCTCGTCACGGAACGGCCAAGCAGCGTCGACGTATGTGTTCATTATGTTGCAGTATCGTACTGCTGGCCTGAGGAAATCAAAGACGAGGATGGCAACACCGTTCCTCCTATCATCGAATCAAAGGTCCGAGATCTCAACGGTGAGCCACGTGCTGCTCGCGCACTTGACGATGTTCTCGACCGTGCTGTCGATTTTGCCAATTCCGTCGGGCTTCGCATGATTTGGATCGACCAGGAATGCCTTCCGCAACCGAAAGAAGATGGTTCAGAGGAAGACAAGGCGTACCAGCGACTCGGGGTACAGGCACTGGACATAGTCTACAACAGAGCTATCGTTACAGCTGGCCTACACGAATCAACTATCAGCAAGACTGAGATGAGCGCGGTTCAATTCTTGATAGACCACGAAACTGAAGAACTGCGTTGTTTGAGCCTCCGCCCACAATTGTTCCAGTATGCTTTGGATTTCTTGTACATGGTCCAAGCAGACAAATGGTACACACGAGCGTGGGTTATTCAAGAAGCAGTCAGTGCCGGCGACGGCTTGGTTCTTGTGTTCAGACGAGGTCCCGGTGTTGTCTACACGTCCAAGCTTCGTGCCGATCAGAAGAAGTATTCGACTCCTCGACATCCACTGGACTCGGAGAGGCGAAATCTCAAGTCAGAGATTATCTGCATCCCTGTAGGCCTCTTTAGGGTCCTTGTCGAAACCTGCAAGTCTCTGCTGGAACAACGTTTTCAGGTTATGGGGCAAGCTCTGATTCGAACCAGCATCGACAAGAATGCCATCCCGATTCTCTCCGTCGCCGAGTCCCTTCATCCAAAGATCACAGTGCGCCAGCATGTGGCCGGTATCCATGTGTACGGAGGCAAAGTCTACGGTGGCCGTCAAAAGGTGAACGCCGCCACGGCTCTGACGCTGCTGAAGAGTCGTCACTGTCGCGATGTTCAGGATCGTCTGACTATCCTGGCAAACATGTGCAGTTACGAGATTCGCTTAGACCCTGTCAGAGTAGCGAAGGAATGTGATTCGCTCCGACTCAGTATTTTGGCCATCACACTGCTGAATGGGGACACGTCCCTCCTAGTGCCTGAGGTCTATGACTTCCCTGGCGACGAAGACGGAGAGCCAGATCCTTCTATGGACCGCCGCGTGGGGAGCCTTCTGTCACCTTTTGACACGGACTCCAAAGGGATCAGTAGCTACGCAGTACAAGACGGCAAGCTCGTCAACCCTGCCGTGTACAAACATAGTTTTGGGGGCAAGAGTAAAGGACTCCATCTATGTGCTTATCTCTGGACAGTCGACGATACTCTCGATCTCAGCCCTCTGAAATACCAATTCGCCGAGATCTGGCATAGGATGAAGTGCTTGCGCATCATCGTGGACCGCCAAAAGGAGGAATCCGTCGATGAATTCGCTAGGCGAAGGGGTTTAATTACCCAACATTTCTCAAAGAACTACGTCAGAGACCGGGCGAAATCGGAAATCTTCCACCATGGTGCCATCGCTGCTGGCTCGAGTGTTTGGGAAGGCCTAGATGCGAGGGGGGTTCAGGTCAAAGTATACCTTGACGCCTACCGCGTAGAAGCGGAGCCCGAGATGCAGAAGATCGTGGCGGAGATCTTCTTCGCCATCTTGCGATACCTGCACGGCCTCTGTACCACTCAGTCTCTAGGCGCCGCGAACAGCATCTGGCAATCGATTCGCACGGATGCCGTCTATACACGTAGGCCAGAGATGCCAGACTTGGTGGGTGAGCAGCTTTTTTCACACGAAGACGTTCTTGTGGACCCTTTCCGAACGCTTCAGCTGGATAAGGATCGAGGCGGCGGCTACTATCAAGCCTGGATCGTGGACCGGATCATGCATGAGGGTATCCTCTTCGTCGGCAGGTATAATTGCGCTTCCAATATCCCACTGGTAGGAGTGAATCCCAGGCCGAGCCGCGATCCAGGGGAAGGACCAAGTCGGCAGAATGAAGGCAAAGTTCCAGACAACATTATCCAACGGCAGATCCAGCGACGATTTCTGGCAACGCTCTACAGTTCTGGCCTTGAAGGAAATTTCGACGCCCTCGAGGATCACGAAACCAGGATCGTTCCGTCCAGTCTGGCTTGGTTCGGAGAAGCTCTCAAGCGGGAACTCTTCACGGCAGAGGCAGAGCAAGCTCGAACGCAGCAGCTCATATCGATCTTCGACGTGGATGGACCATGCCTCGTTGCTACCGTCTTCAACTCAGACTGGGAAGTGCTGCCTCGTCCTGATATCAGAAGTATGAGTATCTGCTGGGTGGTTGAACCGGTGGAGAAGGCGAAGTCAGAGAGCCTCGGGAAGCAGAGCGCCGCTCTCGACGAAGAGCAACCCATAGTCGGCGGCAAAGGAAAAGAACCTGAACGGCTACCTCATACATATGGCATTGATGATTTCAAAGTAGGCGGAAAAGGGAAGGAACCTGAGCGCTTACTGTCTACACCCGACGCTGGTGATCTGGGAATAGCCTCAAATACGGAATTCGCCGCCCCAACACTGTACAGAGTGGTGAACAAGGTGAAGGGCATGTGGCAGATAATGGACCTGCCCATGCAGGAATACGCTTTCATCTAGTCTTGAGGCAACCTGCGACTTGCAACAAGACGACGTACACGGGTAATGAGCAGCCAGCCACGGGCACGTTTGAAAGAAGACAAGCGAGAAAAAAGCAAGGATGGAAGCCAAAGTCAATCAAGATGATAAAAAGGCAAAAACATACAACACCAGGTATTCGCTGGTCGTCACCGACCCAACTACTAATCCGGCCCTCATTGGCTTATCTATGGGAGAGCGGACGGGATCCCGAGTTTTCCAATGGGTATGGTCGTATGTGCTAGGAAAACGAAAGCAGATGCAATAAGTAGGCAAAGTAAGAGAAGCACTGTCGTCTCAGCTCCAAACCATACAACTTCCCTTTTGACCGTTCAGAAATCTCAAAAGACCACGGAAAGGCTCAAATTGTCAACAGCAGGCATTCGTCTTCAAATCTCCTTCAACCTACCAAACGGTGAAAACGGAGGGAGCAAACCGTCTCGAAGGGCAACCTTCAAACCCTGCCCTCCGTTGACTGACGGCCGGCCGGCACACATACACACACACACTTGACCGGATTTGTCGGCTCTCGCCCCTCGCGACCCCGGGGGTGGGCGGTCGTACCACCCATAGTACGGGATAGCGTCCCCAAGGATGCGGGACACACGGAGGATATTGGCCTTTCCGCGTGACAAATCGTATTACCAGCCCAGCCCTCAGAAGCCGGGGGAAAAGAAGGGCTGCAACCACGACACACATACACGCACACCACCATCTTCGGAAACCAAGCGGCGGCTGGTCGGCGGTGGTATCCGGCTGTCTCGGCGCGTTGCCCGGAGTAAAAGCATCGAGCGAATCGGATAGTGT